TCACCACAGGCAGATCCAGAGCCCTAGCAGGAATGCCCACGAACGTCAAAGCCTGGACCCGACCCCACCCTCCTACCCGCACCTTCTTCCAAGTATTGCTCTCTAAACTGAGATCAGCCCCATTCCACCTCCTGCCCAGCAGATGGTGGGAAGGGACCACTGTGCAGCCTGGCCTGGTGGGCCTCTACGGTCTACACCCCCTGCCTAAGTCACCTCGTCCAGGAAGCCTTCCCTGACTGCTCCTGCCCACACCCACACTGGGTCCTGGGAGCTTCCACATCCCAGAGAGTCTGAGCCCAGCACGCCGGCTCTCACAACTAGGTTCAGGCTCGTCTTTGTGGATTTTCCCAACATTTCTGGGGGCTCTGTGGGGACAGAGAACAGGCCTTTCATTTTCCTCTCTTCCTGTCTCCCACAGAGGAGCCCAAACATAACGGGAGAAGCCCAAGCTTCTTTCTTCTCTTTAGGAGCTCTCCTCCCAGGCCCTGCGGGGAGGCTGGCTGGACGGGGACCGCGGGGTAGGTGGCGGGGAGCCGTCCTGCAGAAAGCCCGGGGCCCACGGAAGGCCCCGTGCTCTGGATCTTACACGGGCTCTAGTGGGCCCTGGTTCTCCTGTCTCTTCAGTTCTCCCTCTTCTTAATCTGCTTCCTACTCATCAACACTGGGGCCTGCAGGGGGAGGGGGAAGTGGGGCCGTCTTGCTCCTCCACACCCCTGCCGGGACCCTCCCTCCCCACCTGAGCCGCTGTGGCTCACTGAGCCCCGGGCAGGCCGCTGGAGTCTCGCGTCCACGTCCAGCATCAGCTCCCGCAGGTAGCACCGCCGGCCCCGCCAGGGCGCTTGGCTGCAGTTAGACTGCCACCTGGTGGCCGCGAGGAGCATTGCGCTTCTCAGCCCCGCTCCTTGCCGGCCCTCCGGTGTCCCTGGTGAGACTCCCTGAGACGCGGCCTGCTGAGCAACCCGCTCCCCTTCCTGCTCAGATGTGGAAGCTGGAGTCCCGAGAGAGGAAGAGCTTGCCAGTCAAGGGCCCTGCCCGGGCACCTGCATCGTAGGCCCAGTCTGCGAATCCCTGTCATGGAAAAGACAAAAGTGACAGGAGTTTGAGGCTCCGGTTGAAACTAAGAGGGAGCAAGCGGTGAACTTGCAGCCATTGTGAAACCTCTAGGCGAGGGATGGCCAAGTCAGAGGGAGCGGCTTCTGTCCGCTGCCAATACCACACACTGCCAGCGCGGATGGCCAGCTAGCCGCTACTGACATTAACACCAACCACTCACTGCTAATTAACCACTAACTACCGCTAACGCTAACTGCTAACTAACCAGTAACACTAACCACTAAATAACGTTAACTAACAGCTAACTGCTAAACTAACTGGTAACTAATCATTAACACAAACTACTAACCTTAACTAATGCTAACGACTAGCCACTAACTCTACCAACTGCTAACCACTAAAATTAATCACAACTAAATGAGCACTAACCAAGCTAACACTACTAACTACCACTATGCTGATACCATTACTACTGCTAACACTAGTTAAAACTCAGAGAAACTAATAATGCCAGCCGGGCACATTGGCTCACGCCTGTAATTCCAGCACTTGGGGAGACTGAGGCAGGAGTTTTGCTTGAGCCACAGGAGCTTGAGACCAGACTGGGCAATATACTGACAACTATCTCTACAAAAGCATTTTAAAATTAGCCAGTACAGTGGTGCATGCCTGTAGTTCCAGCTGCTTGGGAAGGCTGAGGCAGAAGGATCACTCGAGCCTGGAAGGTTGAGCAGCAGTGAGCTGTGATGGCCTCACTACACTCTGCCTGGCCTGCAGAGTGAGACCCTGTCTCAAAATACAATAACAATGCAGAAAAACCACCACACTTACGTTGTTTGTGCAAGAATTCTCTAGACCAGTTTTTTCTGGGAGACAATTTGCCAACAGGTGCTAAAAGACTTCTGTGCATTGCATCGGTTCAAACGTTCTTCCGTGTTAAGAGAATTTATTCTGAAGGTCTAGGAGTTTAAATTTGTGTCTTTTTAAGGTGTGCATGGAAAAAAGTATGCAAGGAAGTTTACCATCACACATATTGATTTTTAAAATTGAAAGAAACTTTCACCAATATGTTAAATAACTATTGGCTATATAAATAATATATAGACTTTTCAAACTATGTAGCAGAAAAATTGTAAGTGTTCTCCAGCAAACCCCCATTTACTCACTTTTAATAACTGCTTTGAGATAATTCACGTACCATAACATTCACCCTATTCAAGTGTACAATTCAGTGGTTTTCATGTATTCCCAGAGTTTGCAATTGTCATCACTAATTTTAGAACTTTTTATTACCTCAAAGAGAAAAGATGGAGCTACCATCACATCATACAGATACTCCATGTTTTGCTAATTCATTCGTAAGTTGACGGATGTTTAGGTTATTCCCACTTCTTGGCTACTATGAATAATGCTGTTATGAATATTCATATACAAGCTTTGTGTAGATGTACATTTTCAATTCCCTTGCCTGTGTACCTAGGAGTGGATTTTCTGAATAATTCAGTTTGACTTTGCGAACAACTGCACCTTTTTAGCAAAGCACCTGATGAGTCTGCAGTCCCACGAGCCATGTATGATTTCCACACCTTCTTGCCAATTCTTGTTATTGGCTATTTTGTTCTCCTTTTAGCCATCCTCGTGGATGTGAAACAATATTTCATTGTGGTTTTAATTTTTTACCTAGTGACTAATGATACTGAGCATCTTTTCATGTGCTTATTGGGCATCTGTATATAATATATATTGTTTTGATGCATACAATTCATATGCAGTTTTATAAATAGATGATCTCAAGATGTTTCCAAGACACAGAGGGAAAAAAAATCTTTCCAGAAACATACAAAAGTATTAGTGGTGAATGTCTGGGTAATAAGATTGTGATCGAGTTTTTAAAAAATCCTTTTATACCTCCTAAATGCCTGCCATGAGTATGAATTACTTTCATAGTTTGACAGTAAAGGAAGGAATGCATGATGGGTTTTCAGACTGGGCCCACACTTTGACATCTGTCTGACCAGGAAGGTGCCAGGCAGCCGGGCGGCATGGGTGACAGTGTGACCTTAGGCTTCACGTAGCTGCGTCTCCATTCCCTGGAACTCTCACAACCGTAAGGGAAGAGGCTGTCCATCTGCTGCTTCCACCAGATGCACATTTGTGCGCCAGCACGGGTGACGGATGCCTCCTCCTCCTGCTCCCAGCGCATGAGAAAAGAAACCTGGTCCAGGCAGGCCATGGAGGACAAGCTAGATCCTCTGTGCAGAGGACAGGGCCAGCAGGCAGGGATCACAGAGAAGGGAGGCTCCCAGACAAGGGCCGGGACAGGCAAACGCCACCTGGCAATCAGCCCAAGTAGGCAGAGGCTGGAGAAGGTTTGGACTCTGAGGGTAGTCGGAGACAGGAGACTGGCCAGAAAGGCTAATGTAGTAAGGGAGGGCTTCCAGGAAGTGGGGGAAATGGAACTGAGTTCTGCAGGACAGGTCTGTTGTGGGTAGACCAAGAAGGGAGAGGTTTCACTCCAACCTGACAGTGTCCATTTCTGCCTGTTCTCTGTACTGGAATCTCCCTCCACCATTGTTCGGCAATAAGCAGGTCCCCACAGACAGAGCCCAGGTCTCCTCCTCCTCCCGGCTGCCAAGAAGGAGGGTGGAAGAGGGACGGACTCTACAGATGGGTTACATTAAGGGAGTCCTCACTTGGGTGAGAGACGGCAGGCAGTACACTGGGACCCGAGGGCACACAATGGGGAGAACGTAAGAGAAAGACACGGAGTTCAGGCATCTCCACCCCAGAGGAAAAGGAGAGACTCGAGCAATTTTCAGAAGAAACCCAAAGGCCAAGCACACACAGCAAGAGAAGTTTACACCCATTAGCTATCAGGAAGACGCAAATTCAGACAACAGCGCCTTGGTACTTTACACCTGTTTGGGTGGCGAACATCAAAAAGCCATGTAACGCCAAATGTTGGTGGGGCTGTGGGATTTAGGAAGCTCAAAAACTGCCGATGCTAGTGCAGATCTGAAGCCTGCAACCTGGCATCACCTAATCATGACAGACACCCAGCACTGCCCGTCCTGGACATGAGGCCTGGACAGAGGCTCACGATGTCACAGGTCCAGGAGGGAACCGGCATGTGCATGTTCACTAGAGCATGGGGGACACAGGACAGGAAGATGTGGGTGGTGACTCCAGGCAGCTCCATATGCAGCCAAAACGATGGATCAGATGTGCACAGGGCAAAACGAGAAGATCCCTTTCTTTCTTTTTCATTTTTATTTTGGATTTTTTATTTTTCGAGATGGAGTTGTGCTCTTGTTGCCCAGGCTGGAGTGCAGGGTGCAATCTTGGCTCACTGCATCCTCCACTTCCTGGGTTCAAGCAATTCTCATGCCTCAGCCTCCAGAGTGACTGGGACTACAGTTACTACACCATGCCCAGAATATTTTTAGTAGAGACAGGGTCTCACTGTGTCAGCCAGGCTGGTCTTGAACTCATGACCTCAGATGATCCACCCGCCTCAGGCTCCCGAAGTGCTGGGATTACAGACCTGAGCCAATGTATATGGCCCAAGAGCATCTCTTAAAAGCACAGTGCTGAGGGGGGGGACATGTTAGAAGCAGGATGAGGCAAATGACCAACAGCATTGATGTAAATAAAAGTAGAAACACACAAAACACCACGTATTTTGCAAGACACCCAAAAACACAAGTAATCACATTAAACATGCTTGCTTGTTTGCCTGTGAGAGGAGGGGAATGGGAGCAGTGATGAAGACAAAAGAGAGCACAGTTTAAGAACAAATAAAACACGAGGGCCTTTGCACAGATAAATAATCATAATGTAGCATGAACTCTGAGGAACGGTGAATGCAACCTAGCACCAGCCGGCCAAATAAAGAACGCAGGTGCGCTCCCCTTTAGAGGCCGTTTACTCACTCAAACAGGCGTCTATTCATTTACAGGTTTATTGGCTCCTCTGAGCTATGGGCTAGAGCCCCAGGAAGAGGAATGGATGAGAGCAGACACAGGGACCACAGAAGTCAGAGGCAGACCTCGAAAGAGAGTCAGAGGCAGAGACAGGGAGGGCTGCCCCTGTCCCAGGCTGGGATGGGACTGTGGCCTGAAGGTCCCTGGGGGCCCCCTTGCTTTTCCAGAGTGTGGTGGACCCATAATAGCTTCCCAAGTTCAAGTGTGGACTCCAGGGGCATGATGGGGCAGCCTAGCACATAGATGTCAGCACCTTCGCTGCTGAGCGGGAAGGCGCGGTCCACTTAGCACGGGTCCTCCGGGCTGGCAGGAGCTCAGGGTCATGACCACGCCACTTCCGTGAGATCTCAGTCCTCACCTCCAGGGACAAGGAAGAGGATGTTAGGAAGGTCCCCCTGGGGCTTTGCTACTCAACCCCAATGAGTCTGAGGTGCAGGGAGAGGCCATGTAAGAGAAACAGAGACATGGGGCAGGAAAAGCCATGCTTGGCCCCAGGCACTGCTAAGTACTACCTCTGGAGGATACTACTTCCTCCTTCCTGTGAGTATTTCTCACCATTCTTTCAGCTCCTCTCTCTGCCTTTTAGCCCTGCCTTTGTCTGAGCCCAGTTACAGGCATTTATGGGTGCTTTCTTGAGTTCCTGGCCAAATAACCACCCTGTTCTCTCTGAATCACTTAGACCTCTCCTTGTTCTGGGGCTCAATTTTGTGAGCTCAACTCTGGCCACTGGAAACCTGTCCAGAGGACGTCACCTGAAGGGAGAGAAGATTCAGAACTCTGTCTGTGGGGCTTCCATGGAGGGACCTGAAAGGAACTAAAAGAAAAGTAGCCTAGGGCAAGATGGAAGGGTGGGGTTGGAGGGGGTGCTCTCTGTATCTTCACATCTCCAAGGGGCTTTCAGGGGCCCAGGGTGCCAAGAGACTGCCCCATGCAGTAGAGCGGAACTAGAGTTGTGGTGAAAGATGAATCAGATATCTGTTCAACATAGAGACCATCTATGTGGGAACACAGCTGCCTGAAACAGAAAGAGCTATATTGCAGGGTAGTAAGCTCCCCATCACCAGAAGTATGTAACCACCTGGTCTCCAACACTGCTTCCTAAAACAGCTCCCTTCACTACTCTTTGTGGAAACACTTTTTCCACACCCCACCAGCCTCAGCCTGGGCTGCTGCTTGCCCCACCCAGGACCCCCAGGGCCCACGGTCTGCTACACCCAGACACCACATAAGGCTGCATGGGACTTAGAGAGGCCTGGTGAGGAGTGAAGAGAGGGAGAGAAGGAGCAGTCAGGGACAGAGGCGAGAGATGAGATGGGAGCCGGGAGCAACACTCCACAGTGAGGGACACAGGGCACCTGCAGCTGGATCTCGCAGAATGCAGAGCCCATGGCAAATCCACGGCCCGCGGAGGGAGCGCAGGGGCCTGCAGGGGCACAGACGTGGAACTTGGGAGTCTAGGGCATTGAGATCAATTCTCCCCAGCCCCTCTCCCCAGAGCAAGACTATCCTAAGGGGGAGATTCGGAAATTCACAGTGTCTCCTGGGTGGAATTCACTTCGAGCCGGTCTCTGGCATCTTCCCACGTGTCCACGTGTGCAGCAGCACCACCTGTCTTTGCACGTCTATCTCCCCTTCCGTCCATTCTCTGTGTGTGTCTGTTTCCTTTACGTGCTGTTTCCCGGGCTCCAGATCTTCCTCCTGGTCTCTGCATCTGACTGTTGCCCTAGTTCCCCGTATGGTCACCTCTGACTTTCTTGGCTCCTCTATCCATCCTCTCTGACTGTCTCTCCTTCAGCTGGCCGACTCCCTCCCCAACTCTCCCCTTATGTTCAATTTTAGAAACACAGAATTGGGGGATTCCTTCTGACTCCCTACCCTAATCCCGCTCCTGATCCCTGAAAGGCCGCCTCCATCTCCTGAAGAGTGGCTGGTAGAACTTGGCCCAGCACAGAGAAGGGATAGATAAGAGATGTCTACAGGAAGCATTAAGGTTCAGCTGGATCCAGAAGCTCAGGAATAGGAGTCAAGGTGTGGCCTGAGCTGGGGTCTACAGGGCCTGGGTGGGAGACAGAAGGAGGGGCCTTAGGTCTGGTGGGAGGGGGACTCCATGAGGGATATCCTGGAAAGTCACACACCTCTTGGTTGAGGAAGCAGTAGAGGATGGCGACGATGAAGCCCTGTGGGGCCAAAGAGGAAAGATCCCATCAGAACACTTTGGCCTGGCCTCAAGGTGTCCACAGTCTTTCTGCTGCTCTTTCCTACTCCCTCCCAGGCTGTGGCTTGGGCCAGGTCTGATTGAAAGGGGGATTTTGATGCATTCATTACTTACTGTGCCAGGAATATTGTCTAGAGAATTGTCAGCAAGCCTGCCAGGCCTGTACTGTTCGCCTCATTTCTTTGACTTTATTTCTGCATCCCTTATGGATGAGCACAACATTTGGCACATAATAGGGATCAGTAGGAGCTGAATAGATTGGATGGATGGATGGATGGATGGATGGATGGATGGATGGATGGATGGGGGTGGTGGATAGGTAGGTGGATGGATAGATGGGTTGGTGGGTGTGTTGGCGTGTTGGTGGGTGGTTGGGTGGATGGATGGGTGGATGATGGATGGGTTAGTGGGTGGATGTATGGATGATGGATGGGTGGGTGGATGAACGCATGCGTCGTTGAATAAATAGAGAAATAGGTGGCTGGAAGATGGACAGACAGTTGAATAGATGGATGAAAAAGAATAGCCCTCACCCTGTCATGAACTGAGCCAAGGCCTGTTCCCTCAGCAGCCCCCTCAGCTCCTCCCATAAAGAGAAAGAGTGCCTACAGGGTCCTCACCTGGAAGGAGCCCAGTCCCAGCTCCAGGGGGAGGCGGACGCCCAGGCCGGCACTGTCAGGCAGGAAGTTGAAGATGATGTAGTGAATTCCAAAGAGTGGGATAAGGAAAAGTGTCGACTTGGAGAGACGCCTGCAGGAAAGACAAATCCTGGGCTCCCAAGGCTGGGATTAGAAACTGTCATGTGCCCTTCATCCTCTCTCACTTCCTGCCACCTCCCTATATCCATTCTGCGGACCAGCCGCCCTGGGAAACGCCACCTCCCCACACTCACCCTGGCCTTTTTCATTTCTGGGCCCAGAGTCCTGCTGATTCCCCTGCCAAGTGTTATTGCCCCAGTTTATCCCAAAGTCTATGCATCTTTCAAAGTGGGGATCAAAACCACTTCCTCCAGGAAGTCTTCTTTGACCACACCACCCTTCGCCTAGAAAGGATCTCTCTTCCCAGGCTCCCATAGAAATTCATCTTAGCACTCATCATTCTATTTGGCATGGGAACTGGCTGTTTGAAGTGCCCATCCTTCCAATACTGTGATACTCTAGAAGGAAGGGGCCAGGTCTATTCTGTCTCTGGGAACACAGGGAAGAGTACGGGGCTGAGGTCACAAATGCCTGTTGGATGAGATGGAACCACCATATTGAATCCCCCTCCAGTTACCCTTTTCCAGTGTCCCCAGACACACACACACACACACACACACATAGTACCAATACTGAGAATGGGTACGGAGGCTGCCCTGAGCTGACTCCAGTTTCCTCAGCAGGATGCGGATAATATTGAGGAAAAGCCCAAAGTTCACCTGGAAATAGAGGTAGAGGAAGGTGGAAGACAAGGGTCAGAGGGTATCCTTGGGTGGCTGGGGTGAGCTCCAGCCCATTTGGGGATCAGAAAATCTAAATCCTTGAGATGTGAGAATGCAGATGGATGAACACACAGATCATGGCTCCAGAACTTATGGCCTGGAGCTGGGAGGTCCCACATTTGAGCCTTAGAGGACAGAGGAGGGCCCAGGACTCCTGTCCCTCTCCAGTCCTGGCATCAAGGAGAGGCGATCGGGCCTTGCCACCTGCCTCTGGCCACCTCCCAGGCTCTTCTCTAGCACGAACCAGATGTCCCTCACTTCGCACAGTTGCTAAGTTGCAAAACATTTGTACATTTACCAAAGCCATGCAAAGTAGCCTTCACTGCCCTCTGTGTTGTGTATGGGAGCAGAGGGAGGGAAGGGCTTTAGCCGTGTGGTCTATTTACTGCCCCCACCCCACACTCCACACCCCATCCTCTCACTGCAGTGGTAAATGAGCTGCAACCAGCGCAGTAGACTCATCAAAACTGAGCAGGAACAGCCTGCGTGCTGGTGGAAACCACCACTCCTCTGGCTTTACAAATGCGATACTGAGGCCCAGAGAGGGCCTCACAGAGAATCAGTGGCAGAGCAAGGGGAGCTCTGTTCTCAGGACTCCCAGCCTGGAGTTGTATTTCCTGCTGTGCACAGCCTCTCAGTAGATCCAGGGAGGTTGACCGGATAAAGCCAAGAACCATGGCCCAGGGACTGACCCCAACCGAGAGGACGATGGGCCCTTTGATGATCCACCAGTAGGGGGAGCTGTTGTCCAGGTCCCAGCACCTAGGGAGCGAGGCAAGAATGCCATTGTTGGAAAGTCCCGTTCACTGTGATGACCCAGTGGCACAAATGAACCTCCCTCCTCTCCTGGACATTCGTGCCTTCTGGCCTCACCCCACCTCCCCTCCAGCCTTCTCACCTGTCTCAGCCAGTTAGGGTGTCCCCCAAAGGGGCACCCCAATCCAGGCTTGGCTCACCCTTTCTAACCACCTAGATAGACAAATATTTCTGAACTCTGTCTGTTCGATGCCTTCTTGCTGGACCCTACAAGTCTCTCTTTCCAGGAGGGCCTGTGGCAGCTCTCCCACCCCACCTTCCCCCAGCCCCACAGCCCTGGGAATCTGAGCTGCGCTCTCCTGCCTGCCTGGCTCATGCCCCTTCTGTGCTATCCACAGAACGTTCTCCCACCGCCCCCCATCCTAGTTGGGCAGTCCCTCCTCCTCCTCTTCCCAGCCTGGAGAACAGCCTGTGGCCTGACTGTCCACTCCACACCCTATGTAGGCCCAGTGGGTGTGACAAGGTGGCCGCTCCGACTCACGCAGTGTCCTCGAAGGCCAGCTTGCAGCCCACCCACGTGCCAGTGAAGAGTACAGGCAGCCCTACGAGAGTACAGGGGACAGAGGAGTGAGGGGGTCTGCATCCCTGAGACCTGGCCCCACCTCCCTCACCACCATCAGCCACTCAGGGCACTACAAAGGCAGGGCCAGGCAGGACCCCAGAGCCAGGGTCCCGGTCCCACGCTCTGACACTTGCTGCCAGACTGTGGCCTGTCCCTCCCCTTCTCTGGGCCTCAGAGTTAGCTGGAGGGGCCTTTATGTGAGCTCTCTGGGCCTTCCCAGCCCAGTACCTTCCCATAGTGCCCAACCCACCCTGGGCCCTCACCCCAGCCAGCAAGAACCAGCCACCAGAAGGCTCTCCTTGAACTGGGGGAGGTGGAGGCCAGGAGGCAGGTCAGGTAGGCGGCTTCTGCCAACAGCCAGCTGAAGTTGGTCATGGTGGCGAAATGCAGGGTGGCCATGGAGACCTTGCATAGAACCTGGGGATGAAACTCGGGTGCTTCCGAGCTGGGACACCCACTGGAGCCCCACCCCAGTTACCTCTACCCCACGCAGATACACAACCTCCAGGCCCCTCCAGCTTAGGCTGGGAACTCCAGCTCCTTGGGCCACCCGAGAGGGGACATGGTGATATACAGTGAGGGTGAAGAGCACAGATTTGGGATCTAGACTGCCTGGCTTCTAATTTACCATCTATTTGCTGTGAAATCTCCTCACACCTTCGCTTTTCAGCCGTAAAAGGAAAAACTTCCACTACCTAGCTCGCGTCCTTGTCGTAAGGATTAATTAGAAACTCTGCCTAAGACTTGCTTGTGTCTTCACCTAGCCCCATCCTTCCCGAGCTGAAGTCAACCCCTAGAGCTGTGACTGAGGCACAGCTCTGCTTTGAAAAACACACCCAGGCCCCCGTGCATTCACTCACTCGCTGCATGACCTGACCACCTGCCAGCAGGGAGCAGGACTGCCTCTGAGTTCTGGTGGCCCAGGCTTGGTCCCAGCCCCACCCCTGGGCCACTGGGTGACCTTGCCAAATTGCCTCTCCTCTACAAAACGGGATGAAAGCGATCCTTTCTTCTTCAAGCTGTTTTAAAAATTTAAGAGAGAATGCCAGCTGTCTCTCGAACAACACGGGTGTGAACTGCAGAAGTCCATTGACACATGGATTTTCTTCCATCTCAGCACCCCGGAGACGGCAAGACCACCTTCTCTTCCTCCTCCCGCTCCGCCTACTCAACATAAAGGCGGTGAGGATGAAGACCTTCATGATGATTTACTTCCGTTTAAAAACAGTACACTTATTTTCTCTTCCTTATGATAGTCTTAAAATTGTTTCTCTAGCTTTATTGTAAGACTGCAGTATATAACACATGTAACAGACCAAGTATGTGTTAATCGACCATTTATGTTATTGGTAAGGCTTCAGGCCAAAAGTAGTTACATTTGGGGGTAGTCAAAAGTTATACTTGAATTTTCAACTGAAAGGAGGGGGGTCAACACCATTAACCCCCACGCTGTTCAAGGGACAGCTGCGCATGGTAAGCACTTATTGAAATGCCTGGCACAAACTACGTGTTGAATATGAGGTATGATTAAACCTTTCATCAGTTAATTGAGGTCATGGGTTAGTTTGCTCACAGATTTCACTGTTCATTTCCAGCACACCTATAGAGAATCTAACAGGTGCTGGGTCTCCCCATTCTGCCCAGCTTCCGTGTAATTCCAGTTGCCTCTTACTGTCTCCACCCCACCTCTCCCATGGCGTCTTCCCGGTTTCCTGGACCTGGCCGCGGTCATCCTGTCTTCATGAGCTTGTTCACCGGGGCCCCTCCCCTTCACAAGTCCTCCTTCCCCATCTCCCTGTCACTGCTGCCAACACAGCTCCAGGGTCCCTTCCTCCCAGAAGCCCCCTCTCCTTATCGCCCCACTCAGCTTCCTCCACTTGGACGTCCCCTAATCTGTGTGCATTCTGTCCATGGGGCACTTCCTGAAGGAGGGACGCAGCTCCTCCCGGCCCCTTGCGTACACACCCCCAGCACAGACCAGTGAGTGCTCAGGGAGGTGTCGAAGGAAAGGAAGAGGCTGTGCATAGCGAAACACGGTCTAGGTTAGACTACAGAACGCGGAGCAGAGCATGCAACATGGAAAATTACATGGATTAACACCACGATCTTTCCCAGGAATGGCGTGTGAGGACTTAGGATCTGACATGAGAGAGGGGTACTTTCCTGTTCTGTAACTGGCCATGCCTGCAGGAGCCCCAGGGTCAGCCCACAGGGCAGGGCAGGCTGGGGCAGGCACATCTGGGTCTGTAATCCCACCTCCTCTCTCCCCCACCAGCCCAGCTCCTCTGCCCACGGCCATTACGGTGGAGAAGCTGCAGTGGTCAGTGTCGTCGGTGTGGAAGAGGGTGGCATCCTTCAGGAACACAGCTCCCGCCTTGAGGATAAAGGTGGTGAAGAGCTGGGTGTGGATGTAGTTCCGGGGACAGTGGAGCCTCCTGGTGTGAATGGGAGAAATGAGGAACAAGAAGCAGGCAGGGAGAAGGGATTCTGGTGTGCTGGGACTGCGCTGAGCAGGGCAGGAGATGAGTCCAATCGAATTGAATGCAATCAAGCAGAATTGAATTGAGCTGAACTTGAGGTTTCATTTTAACCCTTGCAGGGCAGCTGAGCAACCATTCCTGTGCTCAGCGTAAGTGTGGAAACAGGAATATCTGGTCCCTGCCTTGGCAGTGCTCATAGTCTGGGGGAACGGGCAGAAATGGCAGGTATTGCCCATGGAACCCCCTGGATGATCAGAGACCCTCATCCCCGTGAGACCAAGAACAGCACAGGCCAGATGCGGTGTTCAGACTTTGAAGGCTGGAGGACGGGGTGAGGGGCTTAAAAGGGAGAATGATCAGAGAGTTGTAACGGTCAAGAGGGACTCAGGTAGGAGGCGGGGGATTGTTAGATGCAGGTAGGAGCTGGGCTTTCTCAAATATATACACATTGAGGAAAAATAAGGAATTCCAAGCAAATGCAACGAGTGCCACAAGAGCAAAGGGGCGGAGGTAGGAGTGAGTTCTGGTGTTTGAAGAGATGGATCTACATGCTGAAAAAAAGAAAAGGGAAAGTCAGCCATGGATATGGTGCTTAGATCTGGGAAGTTCATGGCTATCCAGGCAAGAAATCAGACTTGGCCCTCTGGGAAATAGGGAGCCAAGGAAGGTTCTTGAGCTGGTGATGAGGACAGCAAACCTGAGAGCAACCAGGATGGTGATGGCCGCGAGCAGGGCTGCAATAGAGATGCTATGGCCCATGGTGTAGACCATCTTCACCGTGGAGAAGTAAGATTTCTAGGAAGGTCAGAGACAGAAGAATGTCTTAACTTCTGGACTTGGGGAGAAGGAGAGGCTTGGCAGTCAAGCAGGTGCAGCCTTTGCCCTTCCACCCCGACACTCCCCATCTGGGGGCAGAGGTGTCCGCGGGTACCATGGAAACCTCCCCCTACGTGCTGAAGATTTAGTTTCCTGCCTGAGCCGTGGGTGAGGGAGGGGCAGCGGTGAGGAGTGGAGATGCTTAGCACTCACGATGCTGGGGGGTGGGGAGAGGCAGCCACGGAAACTACGTGTCCCTGGGGAATGACAAAAGCCCAAGAGGAAATCAGCTTGTTTATTGACATCCAGCCTGGTCACCAGGCTTGGGAACACAATGTCCCCAAGTAAAGGAGACAGCCAGGGACACCTGGGGACAGCCACACCAGGCAGGCAAAAGCTTTCCATGGCCAAGTGTTTGGATCAATCGGAGTCCAGCCTGGCCCTGAAGATAGAGGGTGCAGGCAAAGGAAGGGAGCAGGGCCGGGGCACCGGCCCCAATCCCAGCTCTCCTGTGGGGCTCAGGCAATCACTGCCTGTCTCTAACTCAGCCTTTGCATCTGAAAAATGGTTACAGTCATGCTTGGCCTTTCAGAGATCACAGGGATAGAGAAACGGGATGATGCGTGTGGCGGTGCCTGGCAAAGGCTCTGTGGGATGTGCTGGCTGGTATTAGGAGCTTTCTGCAATCTCTCTAGGCTTGAGTTTCCCTCACTGGCCCACACCACAACCATGCACACTGCTCCACTGACTGAGGGCCAGAGAAGAGAAGGAGCTTCCCCAGGGCTGCCAGGAGCCTGGTTTCCTCTGGAACCACCCGAAGCTCCCTGTCCTGGAAGCTTGGACACTGAAGCAAGATAGCAGCCGACAGATCTCCCACCTGCCCTGTGCCCCGCTTCTCCCTCCAAGTCACTTGGCTGGTGGGTCAGCCTTGAGTAACTTAGCAAAAGACCCCTTCTCCTCCAGACACGTCACTGCCCTCTCTGGAAAACTGTAATATTCCAACCTGCAGGCCGGGGAATGGCAGCCCCCACATTTGTGCACCCACCCATACAAACGTCCATGGCAGTCCTTCCTCCAAGATGCCAGGAACCTCTTACCTCCTCGGCCAGCAGCTCCAGGGGCACCGGGCAGGCCACGGGATAAGGTGGAAAGGGCTCCGACCAGCCAGTGATGGTACAATCCCGGTTCACAGCCCCTGGGAGGCAAGCAAGACTCTCTAGCCACAACTCCTTCCCTCCTCGCAGGAGGGGTTGGGGTGCCATGGACCATTAAGTGACCCTGGCAGGGTTACATGGCCAGTTCGTCTCACCAACAAAGAGGGTGGCTCCAGAGGCCTGGGGCCCTGGTCCAGCCTGCCCAGGTATACACTACGGGGCCTTCTATCTCTGATTTCAAAGGCACCATCTCTTCCCAGACAGGGTTATTCCCCTGAGGGGCGGAGAGTGGTGAGTTGGGCTGCCAGCATCCTAAGGGCAGTGGTGGGGAAAAGAGCCCCTTGCTGTCCAGTCACCCAGGCCAGGGAGGTGAGGCAGAGCAGCAGGGTCCGCACCCACCCCGCCCTGGGCAGCTGGTAGTGTCTTAGCAGACAGGCAAGCTGCCCTCCTCCGCGCTTGCAGCCTGCCTCCTGCTGACACCTGGCGGGCACCCAGGTCCAGCAGCTCCAGGTTCCGCACTCTAATCCTTTCCTGCGCAGTTTCACGCTCTTGTTCTTCCCAGTTCACAGCTCAGGAAACAGAAGTCAGGATCAACTGACTGGCCCAAGGTCACCCCAGAAGACAGCAAGTTGGTACAAAGCCAGGTCTGCCTGCCCCTCCTCACCTGGCACCCCACTCCCTTTCCCACCGCCACATCCAAGACCCCTCACCTGACTCCGAGCTGAAGTGAGAGAAGAAATCCGGGCAGGGGAGGGTGACCCACTCGCCAGAGCCTGCCGTCGGCCAGCACAGCAGCCCATCCCAGGTCCTTGGGCAGCCTGGATAGACAGCCAGGAGCAGGGGAGACTCGGTCCAGGCACAGGGCTGCCCCCACAATTCAAGGGGTAAGGCGGAAGGACATAAAAATCAGAAACCGCCTCCTGCCTCCCAGGCCCCATACCCAGGGTGGTGTTGGGCGTCTCCTCTGCTGCCTGTAGACAGGCGCTCTCCTCCTCTCTCAACTGGGTGATGAAGTCACATTCTGGGTGCATGTGGCCCAATACCTGCTGGAAACAGTGAGCAGGATGAGCCAGGCCAATTGGGTGCCCTTCCGGGCTCTGTGGTCCAAATGGCCTGAGGATACATACAAGGCCTGATTCATTTCTGTGTCTTGATCCTCCGCAAAGACCTGCTCACAGCACTTTCAGGTGTGTACGGTGGATGTTCAAATACAAGGAGGGGAAGGGGAAGAGAAAAACGGGAGGGAGAGGGATGGCTCTAATAATCTCCCTTGTAGTTAATACTCTGGTTCTAAGGAAGGAAGGCAGGAACCCAAGAAGGAAGGAAGGAAAAAAGGAAAGCTGGCTGGCTCTAACCTCCTGCGTAGTTAATGCTCTTGTTCTTCCCAGTTCACAGCTCAGGAAGCAGAGGTCAGGGTTGACTGACTTGCCTAAGGTCACACTGGAAGAGGGGAAGTTGGTATTACACAAACCTGGGTCTGCCTATGTTTGAAGTGACTGTTTCTCCATTCTGTCTCATGGAAGTAAGTTCTGAGACCCAGAAGGCAATGTGCTTCTGAAGACCTTGCAGAGACAGCCAACTCCATGCTTGCCAGGGCCCTTCCTCCTTCCCTGTGTTACTCTCCTCGCTCTGCAATCCTGCTCCCTGGAAGCAATTCTGCGTGAACTACCTTAGTAAATAGAATAATGGCCCCCAAAGATGTCCACATCCTAATCCCTGGAACCTGTGAAGATGTCACCTTATACGGCAAAAGGACAGTGCAGATGTGATTGAGTTCGGGGTCTTAGATGGGAAGACCATCCTCGACCGAGTGGCCCGATCACAAGGCTCCTTACAGGGGGTGTGGGGGGCAGGAGAGTCCGAATCGGAGGAGGCATCGTGAGGCTGCGTGCCGTGGGAACTGAGATTTAAAGGTGCCGCACTGCTGGCTTTGAAGGAGAGTGGACACCAAGGCCAGGAAAAGCCAAGCAAATGGATTCTCCTCTAGTCTCCAGAGGAGCGCAGCTTGGCCAATACTTTGGATTTATCCCGCTGGAAACGATTTTAAATTTCTGACCTTTGTCTCAGCCTCTGCTTTGAGGGGTGCACATGGGCAGGAACACGAGTCAATGAGTAAGTTAGAAGATGGATGAACGAGCACATGGATAAGTGAGCACACAAATGAGGTGGAGGAGCAAGCGAACATGGATGCATAGATGGAGGAAGGGAGGGAGGGATGCCTGCCTGGGCAGCTGGCTGGTGGAGTGGATGAGTAGACAGACAGAAGGAAGACATACATAGGGACTGGGAGGGTGGCGGATGGATGGATGGACAGGCAGGTGACTCGTGGATGAGTCCATGGTGGATGAGTGAGAGCTGTGTAGGGATGGAGGTGTGGGTTCGTGGATGGGTAGAGGAAAGGATCGGAGCCTTCGTGGCTGAGCACCCTGAAAGATTGCAGTTTTGGGAGCTTCCCAGATCTCGTGCTACACAGTGGCCTTCAGGAATGATCTCTGGAAGCTGGAAACAAAGTGGATATTTTGGAAATCTTCTATTTCTGAAAGTGTGCCTCAAGAACCAACCAGAGATCCACTGGGACGGAGGCAGGAATATGCAGAGATCTAGGGTGGATCCAGTGCTTTGCATTTTCACAAGTTCTCCAGGGAATTGGGAGTCAACGGCAGGAATTCCTGGCACTTCTCCCTCCCGCTGCCCCAAACTGGAGCAGCACCAAACTGATCACCCAGCAGGCCGGAGCCCAAACAGATGCATATAAGGGAAGCCAAGTTCACAAAACAGACTTTCTGCACTGTGAACTGGGTATACAGCATACGTGTTTTTGAATAACACACACGTCCAAGTCAACCAGCGTAGAAACCTGTTCCCTCAGGCTCTCACAGGGGAGGGGTGGCTGGGAAAGGAGGAAGAACTGGGTCCTAATAGACCCTGTGCAAACTGTGATCAATCCCAGGACAGGGGCCAGGCACAGTGGCTCACACCTGTAATCCCAGCGCTTTGGGAGGCCAAGGTGGGCAGATCACATGAGGTCGGGAGTTCCAGACCAGTCTCGCCAATATGGCAAAACCCCACCTCTACAAAAATACAAAAATGAGCAGGGCGTAGTGCCACACTCCTGTAATCCCAGCTCGCAGGAGGCTGAGGGGGGAGAAATGCTGGAACCTGGGAGGCGGAGGTTGCAGTGAGCCGAGATCATGCCACTGCACTCCAGCCTGGATGATAAGGCCAGACTCTGTCTCAGAAAAAGCAAAAAGAAGCAAGACAGGTACCATGGGAGGGAGTGCCCTTCTCACAGGGATTGGAGAGGTGACATTTGAGCTGAACCTGGGGACAAAGGAGTATTTTTAAAGCCAGGCACACACAGTGAGGAGAAGAGCCTCTGGAACCAAAAGAACAGCATGCGCAAAGACGGGGAAGTGGGAAAAGGCGTATTTGGGAAGTATCTGCCCAGGACTAATGTTTCCCATGACCACACACACACACACACACACACACACACACACACACACTCACACTCTCTCTCTCTCTCAATGTCCCGCAGGATCCATGTCAGCAAATGTTTTATTAACAGCTAGTGTTCTTCGGAAGAAATGCAGGCACAGCAAATAGTGCAGCAGACCTAAGACGGGCTGGGGCCAGAGAGCGGAGACTTTGACCACCAGAGTGAGGACAGCAGACAGTGGGTGACCACATGGAGAGGCCCGAGAGCTCTGCCGTGGACCTGTGGGCTAGGAGAGGATCTGAGCCCCAGCCCAGTAAGGAGGGTCACCGCCACCAACACTGCCCTGGCAGAAGTCACTCCTGTCCCACCCTGCTGAACCCATTCCCCCAAATCCAGCTTGGACCCAGCTCTGCCATCTCCTGCTTTGCCCCGCAGGGCCTCAGGGTGCAGATGTCACCCACTACCCAGGCTCCAGGTCTCATTTTGGTGGGTACCCCAGACTCAGCTCTTGGCTTCCTCCCCAGGACTCAGTGGCCCCAGGTCTATCAGGGCAGAACCCCGTTGCATCTCCCCAACATCTCCCAACAGACTGAGGGCAGAAAGTGGGGAAGGAAGGGCAGGAGGCAGGCGGGCCTGTATGGGACTTTCTCACACCATCAGCCTGACATTGACCCTGGGTTGTTGAGAGAGCCATGGTCTCCACCTATCCTTCCTCCTGCTACACGGTCTGGAAAGCCCCAGCTTTGCCTGGGAACCTTCTCAGGGCCCATCAAGGGGAACCACTGAAGGCAAAGGATGCCATGTGAGCAGCCTAGGGCCAAAACGATAGACAGTGCCCACATTGCTAAGAGAAGGAGGGAAGTTTAGGAAATCCAAATAATGACTCGGGATGTGTGGTCACAGGGCCAGATGGAAGGGGAGATTCTAGCGAGGGAAGTGGTGGGGGTGGAAAGACGAGATCATTCTGAGATTTATCCAAATGTTCCTGCTCAATCAGGACTGGCAAAACACATCCTGGGGCTCCCAGTCACCCCTACACACTCCTGAGGGGAGCCTTCCTCGTCCTGGACCCCCAGGCCTTGGATCTGTGCCTGCCGCTCTTCCTGGTATCTGCAGGGGATGGAGCCCACACTGGCCAACAGTGATTTCCTCCTAGCTTTCATATCAGCACAATCTGCTGAATGGCTACCACCAGGTCCTGGGTCCCCCTGCTAAAAATAAAGCTTTTGCTGCAGAGCACACAGATGGCAGGCAGGGGGCAGTCAAATTTGCCTGTGTTGCACCCCTCTATCCAGTCCTTGACAAATCAGACTCCGCTCAATGCACGACAAACCTGGCCAGCCGTTGAGTTCTTTTTTTTAACAAAAGAGATAAGACTCAGGAAGGCTGAGGGACTTGCAGGCCACATGTCTAGTTTCATGGGTCCAGGATTCAAGCCCAAAGCCTGTGCACTTGGGAGCAGGTGCAGCGAGGTGCTCGGGAGGGGCAGCAGCACCCCAACAAGGCAGCGGAGGAAGACTACGTCAGCCCCCACCATCCCAGAACCTTGTGACTCCCATCCTGGTCCCATCTGTCACTTGCAATAACCTCATGGAAAGTTACTGGAAAATTGCAGCATATTTGGGAAAGGCTGGCTGTCCTGATGCTCCGTGCTCCAGCGCCCTAGCCCATGGAGTAGTATTTGGTTGCCAAAAGCCGCTCCAGCCCTCAGCATCCCGAGAGGTTGATGGATCCCCTAACTGCTGGAGCAGAAGCAGCTGGTCTCCACCAACTCCTCAGGTTCCACTCCTTCCTTGGCCACACTCTTCAAAGGAAACCACCAAACTGGAGATGGCTCAGGGAGTCGTGGGGCTAAGGAGGGGTCCGGAAATCTTACCAGGGGAGCATGTGAAAGCATTGCGGATGCACAGCTGAGAGAAAGAGCAGACTGGGGGAACCAAGAGGGGGCCTGACTTTGCC